CCGGTACCTACCCCCATAAAAAAAGAAAATAAATATTAGAGACATGGAAAAAAAGCCTTTTCAAATGGTACACCACCCTCTTCTTGCTCAGAACTAACCACTGTTCTGAAGTTGGTGTATGAATCATTTCCATGCATGTTTACAGATTTTAGTACATATATGTGTTCATGGTATATTTTTTATGGCTTTGTATAAATTCTATCATACTATACCTATATAGCTTCCTTTTCGAAAACTCAACAGGATCATCATTGTACATGTAGTCTATGTAAGGTCGCCCGAGAGCGAAATCTCAATTGAGCCTCGTTCAGTAGCCTTTTAAAATCTGCCTCCTTTTGGTTGCTGCTGCCTGACCTTAAAGTCTAGCTCAATTCTCTTAAAGGCTCATATAGTATTGTTCTTCTGTGAACATTCTATAGTTTATTTACCCATGTCCCATAGATGGCACACTTAATTTATTTCCTATTGTGTGCTAATAGTGTGCTGCAGTGACCACTGTCATGTGTGTCTCCCTGTGCCCACACTGAAGAGTGTCTCTTGGGCACATACCTGGGAATAGGATCACTGGGTCACATGTGTGTGTTTTAACTTTATAGGTCCCTGTGCTCTTCAACATGGTGGATTGACCTTCACTCTCATCTCAGCCATGAATTTCTGCTCTCTACATCTTTGCCTTTACTTGGTATCACTCTTTTTAAACAGTTGCCTATCTAAAGGGTGTGAAATATCACTCTTATTTTAATTAGCAGTTCTCTGATTACCAGTGCAGTTGAACATCTTTTTTTTTTTTCTGGTACAGGCAGTCAGTATAGATGGGTAAATCAGGTCAGATCAAGGAGGCCAATGAGTGAGTCCTCAAGTTGAAGACGGTCCCCTGAGGGTTTGAAATGTTAATTTCTTCAGAGCCCTTTCTTCACCTTTATCAAGAATCTCCCCCTGCTCCAACCTGTTGCCAAGGTAACCTGTCCCAGGAATTGCCCCTCCCCTACAGGAGCTGTAAGGTTGTTAATGTGTCCTTGGTGGCTCCTCCCTGCCCTTCCCCCTTCAGCCAACCTGTTTCCCACCTTTTGGCCATCCCACTGAGCATTCCTGGGCCTAGACATGCAAGCAGGAAGGAAAAAGATGAGGAGAAGAGGGCAGGAGAATAAAGGAAACCTAGAATAAAAAGGGCAGAACACCTTGCTTCTTGGGATACTAGCTCTGGCCCCTTTCTCCCTCCAGGGAGAAGTCTATGTTACCCCTTTTTAAATAAATCCTGCTTTATATGCTTGCCTTGGTGTGTTTCTCTAATGTTCAAACTTCAACATTTGAGGGAACAGAACTCGTCACCAGTAACCAGCAATATCAGTACCAGGGATTGAACCCAGGGTACTCAACCACTGAGCCACATCCCTGGTCCTTTTTAATTTTTTTGAAAATAGCCTTGTAAGTGGTCTGCCTGCCTCCACTGATGAGATTGTGATACAAAATAAGAAATACTTATTTGATCTTTGCTTCTGGCTCCCTACACAGAGCTCCTCAATCCCTTGGGATTTCCTGGGTGACAGTAGCATCTTTTGTTCTAATGAGGCAACCCTTGGTGGGCTTCTGGATGGCCTCAGGACGGGCCAGGGAATCCAACCTTGTGATTATAGGTGTGAAAATTGTCAGAATCAAAATGGAGTTGCTTGTGTCAACCTTAACAAAAAATAAAGCCAGAAGGTATTGAAGGAAGGTTCTCACACATGGTAGGCTGATACTAACTATCACAAAAGACTGCCAGAAACACAGCTTTACACAAAGGCCACTGCAACCTTATGCAAAAAGTACTTTCACAAGGACATCTGTCCAGTGACTGTTCAACCTTGGACTGACATCACTCTGGTTACTAATCATTATTGAAAAGGATTGTTTCAAAATATCTTATGTAATCCTCCTCATTTTGCCTTTGAAAACTTCCCCTTGCCTCAACCTCTTTGAACACACTCATGGTTTAATGGCATGCACATTCTCCTTGCAATGCTATTCTTTTCAAATAAATATCACTATTCTTGGAGAGCATCTCTATTTTTTTTTTAGCTTGACAGAGGGTCAGAACTTTTAGCCCCAACTATCTGAGAAGAGGAAGGAGCTGAAGGTCAAGTTGAGAACCAATGGTTAATGATGTAATCATACCTACACAATGAAGCCTCCACAACCCCCCCAAAAGACTGCGTTTGGAGGGCCTCCAGCAAGCTGAGCACGGTGGGTTGCCAGGAGGATGGTGCACCCAGAGGCATGGAGCTCTTCATCCCTTTCCACAGACCTTGCCCCAGGCAGCTCTTCCATAAGACCTCTTTGTAATATCCTTTAAAATAAATAGGAAATGTAAGGAAGGATTTCTCAAGAATCCTGGGAAATTCATCAAATCCAAGGAGCCATGGGAACCCTGATTTATAGTCTGTTGATCAGAATTATAGGTAACAACCTACTAATCGTGATTGTTATCTGAAGTGGGGGGCAGTATTGTGGACTGAGCCCTTAACTTGTGGGAATCTGATGCTAACTCCAGAGAGTGTCAGAATTGAAGTCCATTATGAGATACTCAGTTGGTGTCTGCTGAACTGCTTGGTGTCACAACTGGTGTCAGAAGTATTCTGTGTTGTAGTGAGTTTGAAGGTAGAGAGGGAAAAAAACCTATTTTTTTTTCCATCCAATATTGCATGTGCCAATCTGGGTTTCCCTCAAGGGCAAAGGAGACCTTTCGAAAAGGCCATGGTGAGTCTATCATTTGAGTCATCCAGATTCTTCTATGACTGCCCAAAGAGCTAGAGACAATTAATTAGCTCTGTATGCCCCAATAGTCTTACATATTTATACATGAAGGATAAAAGCCATCAGATTCCCGTCAACAGCGAAACTGGGATTTAGAAGAAAAAGGGAAAAATATTCGTGTACTGGGATCCACTGAGACTGGGATAAACTCACTGGCAGGCAGCTAGTAAAGAGGTAAGAGCAGATGGTCCACCCTTGAGCAAGCTGGTTCACATCCAAGAAAGCTATTTTAGCTCTGTGTGGACTTTTGGGAATACCTTTGAGAGCCAAACTGAGACGTTTACCTGATAGGCTGATTCCGTGTGGTGTTGGGAGCACCTTTCCTTTAATACCCTCCACCATTTTCCAGAATTCTTGGCTTCCTTGTAGAGAGAGCATTCTGATAAAGTTCAGAATCATTTGTCAAGTACCCTTTGTGATCTGACCAATGTTTACATTTCTAGTATTTTCTGTAGCCAGCAGCCAAGGGACTCTGCCCCAGTCTCCACAGACCACTGGGAGTTCCCCAACCACAGAAAGCTATTTGGCAGTCCTGGACTTAACTTGATAATCACTTTTCTCCTTCTTGCCAAATTTTGCCCCCCACCCCGGGAATGTTCAGCAATATCTGGAGGCATGCTTGACTGTCAAAATGGTGGCGGGAGTGCTACTGGCATCTAGTGGGTAGAGGACAAGGATGCCACTGAACACCCTATAACATAGAGGACATCTCCTTTCCCACACAATAGAAAATAATCTGGCTCCAAAGACCAGTAGTACTGAGGCTGAGAAGTCCTCCCTCAGTGTCTCTCCTCTTTGCTTCCTTCTGCTGCCTCTAGTAATATACATATGCAATTACTCCCATGGCACCCATTGGCCTCACTACCTAGAATACAGGTTTCCTGAGAGACTGTGGTGTAGCTAACTGGAATGGAAAGGACTCAAATATTTGCTGAATAAATGAACAAAGAAGCCATGAGTGCTATCTATCAAATTGTCTGAGACATTTGGGAAGGATGGATGGATATAAGGTGTCCAGAAGCTAACACACCCATTTGAAGAGCTGACAGGGAAACATTTCTCCATATTTAGAAGTTTTATACCCTGCATTCCTCCTGGCATGTTTTGGCAATTTTTTTTTTGACCTCAAACAATAAGCATTTATTTAGTTTAAGAGCTGCTGCAGGTTGGCTACTGAGACTGGGTGTTTTGGCAATTTTTAAAGACAGAGAATAGGGCTGGGGATATAGCTCAGTTGGTAGAGTGCTTGCATAGCATGCACACAGGCCCTGGGTTCAATCTTCAGCACAGATGTCAACGTCAATGTCAATGTTAAGTATTTGCTGGATGGCCAGTGCTATGTTTTGTAGGTACTACTCAATGTGGTACTCACAATGACCTTTGGGGGAACTATTAACACTCATTTCAAGGATCAGGAAGGAATACAAAGCACCAAGAAGTGAAAGGAATTCACCCAAGGGACCACTTCTTTGGGGGAAGGTACAAGAGGCTGTGGCAAAGAGAAACATTTCATTTTTAAGTGCCTGCTGTAAAGACACGCTTTGGTTTGTATTTGTGTCTGGGTTCCATTTATTTTATAGTTAGGCATATGAGTTTTTAATAAAACAGAGAAATACTAAAGCTTTGAAATTTTAGTCATGTGTCACCTCAGGGGCAAGTGAATTCTGATTTTCATCTGTAGTACCTAAGCACAAATCGTGACTCCAGTAATGAGAGCTTGGAAAAATAAGCACCCGAGGCTGATGAAAGTAATGCATTTGTCTCGGGGAAGGGGCGGAATGTGAAGCTAAGTGTTCTTGGGGAGAAACATGTCAATACTAAATCTTTTCACCAACCTTTGATGGATGTGCTAATCTTCTCAGGTCAAGCCGGGCTCACCCTGGCAATGCACTGTAATAACTTATTTAAAGGCAGGTGGCTATTATAAATGGACTGTTCCATCAACTTTTAGATTTTCATTCTCAGAAATGTATTCCCTTATCAAAGCAATATTTGCTATATATAGTAAGAGCTTAATTGTGCATTTTCTACAACAGAAGACGCTGCAGAAGTGAGCAGGTTGGGGAATTACTGTTCTTTGCTCTCAATTCTGTATGACTCTCAAGCTCTGTAGAGAAAACAAGATAACAATAATGTCAGGTGATTTTCATTCCAGTACAGTAGCAGTTGGCAAACTACCACCTGCAGACCAAACCTAGTCCTCAGCCTGCTTTTATAAATAAAGCTTTATTGGAACACAGCCAAATCTATTTGTTTATGTACCATGTATAGCTGCTTTCACACTATAAGGGCAAAGATGAATAGTCATAATGCAGACTATGTGGCCTGCAAAGCCAAGAGTATTTATTCTTTGGCCCTTTACAGAACATGCAGGCTGACTCCTGCATAGAAAGAGGTGGTATTTGTCTCATTGCACATTCACATCATTTTCAGCGAGGATTAGAGGAACTGCATTAGGAGAGTACGTCTGGCTTATTTAAAGCATTTGTGAAGTTCAGGCAGGTTAAAAGAAAACGTAAGAAGGCAAAATGGTAGGCAGTTATCACTAGGCAAGAATTTTTAATGCATTGAACACTATTGACATTAAAAATGAGTGGAATGATGATTTTTTTTTTTTAACCAGGGATTGAACCCAGAGGCACTTAACCACTGAGTCACATCCCCAACTCTTTTTCATATTTTTAAATTTAGACACAGGGTCTTGCTGAGTTGCTCAGGACCTCACTAAGTTGCTGAGGCTGGATTTGTACTTCTGATCCTCCTGCTTCAGCCTCCTGAGCTGCTGGGATTAGAGGCGTGTACCACTCACTATGCCTGGCTCAAAATGATCACTGAGAGAAGATATTTCATGTTGGCAATAGTATACATCCTGCTTACTTCCAAGTGGCTGACATTACATCCTCCTTCTGATGGTCCACCAGGATTTTGGTGACCATGCTGTATCTCGGTACAGAGGCCTCTTTCCCTGAGAATTGTATAGAAGAGAGATGATGGGAGTGTGCCTGAGAGGGAAAGGGTGAGGATGGGGACTGTCTTTAGGGAGCATTCCCTTGGGGCCCTGTGCCCAGGATTCAGAACTTGAGGGGAATGACAGGCCAGTACTTGGGCTGCTTTCTGTCGCAATGTTTGTCAAAGCTCAGTTGCACAGCGGCCTCCATAGCCTGGATCTTGGCAGCGCTCTCTCCATATAAGCGCTTCATCTCGGCCTGGCGCCGCTCTCCAGGCCTCTCACTCGGGGGCTCCACCGAGCGCCGGGTGTTGCAGTACAGGCCATGATCAGCATTCACGTAGTCATCTAGGCGCTCTGCATCCAGCTGCTGCTGCCGCCCTAGAAGTACACCTGAGCATGAGCATGCATGAAACACACGTGCACACAGACACAGGCAGAAGAGCAGGATGGTGAATGCTGAGGCCCTTTGGTCTTCCTTCCCCAACCGTGAGATGGGGCCCAGTTGTGCCTTCTCAGTAGCCCTCCAGATCCTGAGGCATGACCTACAGATTATTATTGTCTACTTAGTTATGAAGCTCACTCTTCACTTTCTAGGGATGATTATACACTGATAGAAATGGTAAAGAGCCTCGAGGACTGGTCAGTCTGATCCACCAAACCTCTGCAGTGTGCCCTAAAAGTACAGAAGACAAATGAAACCACCTGGGTTTCTCTCATCATCTGCATGGCTACCTCCAAACCTGCCAGCCAGGAATGGATGAGGGTGCTCGCCTGCTTTCAAACACCATACCAGGCCAACACAGGAACAAAAAGCTTCCCGGAAAGTCCAGGGTTGCAAGAAGCAGTACATATCACCACAAACGAGGTGGTGGTGGGGGGAATCACTCCTCTGAAAGAGGTTATTGATTTTAGGCAAGCTGGAAAACAAGCCCTAGTAAGTCCTGCCAGCAACCATGATCCAAGATCCTTCTACAGATGCAAAATGCAAATCATACCAGCAAACAAAAGGTTAAATGAGCCCATGCTTGCTAAAGATAAAAGAGCAAGGAAATTGCAATTCTACAAATAGATTTAAGATCCCTGACTTCTAATCTTGCTATATTAACAAATTTGCCACCGGGGCGGGGAGGGGGGGGTGGGGATTTGACTTTCCACCTCTAGCCTAGGTAGAACTGCAGTGCAAAGCATTTAATGGTATGTATAAATATCTATGTATTTTTAATTCTACTAATTTAAGTGGATTCCTGTAAAGCAAGAAATGCTTTATTCATTTTGCCCTCGTTCTACTTTTTACTATAGCAAGTCCCAGGATCATCATTTTTATTCTTATGTAAATACCAACATAAAAATGTCAACAAAAGAATGCTGCATAAGGTAGAATTTAGCCAACTCACATAGATTTTGTAAGTGACTCTGTCAAGAGAGAAATTGATACCAGAAAGTACATTATCTGTAGCCACTATTGTTACCAAGAGAAATGCCACTAGATAAGGAGTGAAGATGGCTGTAGGGGAATAAAACAATGATATAAATCATTCTTTCCTTGTTGCTCTTCTCTCCACTTAGTACCTGGAAAGGAACACAGTAGTGAGCTAATCAAGTGTGAAGGGAAAGATATTTATAAGGCTATGCACTGTCACTCTCATAAATCCCGTTCTTTATAAATATCACCTTGGAGTTGGAGAGAAGGAGTTTTATAGACTCGGAAACATTAAAAATGGATAAGGCCACATGTATGTGGCCACTGCTGTCTTAGTACATCTGCAGTTTGTTTTCCTCACACAGAAGTAATACCCGGATAAACCAAATGACTGTCAAACAAAATAAATGCCCGATGACTATGATCTTACCCACAGAAAACAGATATGATTGACTTATTGTGAAATGCAGAAACAAACTAAAAATATGGGCCGAATATGCAAATGAATTAGAGGTCAACAAGTGTTTGATTCCAAATTTTGGTCTTTTTGCCAAGTTTGAAGAAACATCACTATTTATGCTATTCAGTTCAAATTCTATGCCCTTCTCAGACTGAGTTCTGCTGAACAGTGTGAGAGTAGATGAACTGGGTCCTAATTAGGCAGAAAAAAATGGCCATTTCTACACATTTTTCTGACTTCCAAGCTAACTTCCAGGGAGAGAAAAAAAAATGAAGCAGTGGGTTAGAGAAAAGCACTGTGTGGTTGCTGTGCTACTTCTAAGACCCCTGTGTGTTCCTGGCGCTGAAGCTGGGGTGGGGAAGGAAGCCCAGCTGCATGCCAACTTCTCCCTGGGAACATCTCTGTCTTTCTCTTGCCTCTCTCTATCCTGGGTAGAACTTTGAAGAAAAGCTTAGCTTGTTTGGTATTTGCAGAAGGAAGAAGAAAGATGCCTAGGGCACTAGTGGGCAGTTACAGACTGTAAGGTATGTCTAGTCACTAAGCCTTTCACACTCACCTCTTATAAAAGTCAAAGGAAAAGTACTCTGTAAAACCCTGGCCAGGCAGGGGTGGGGCTGACGGTGGCCCTTGGGCTTTCCATTAAAGGCAGAATTTGACTGAAGGATCTCTTATTCAAGGAGTATTCTGAAGGCCTGGCATTCCCACATTAGCACAACAGAGTCACTCTGCCACGTATGAGTACCTTAGATACATTACCGATGCTTTGGCTCGTGTCTTGTCCACCCAGAAAAGATGACCCCACACATGTGGTGCTGGGTGCCTCAGAGCCTCTGCATCCAGAGTGCAGAGCCTGCAGTAAGACATTCCCAGCTAACCATGGTATTACTCTCAAATTTGTCCCAAGACTATAATCCTCTTCACTGACAGATTCAGTGACACAACAGATGTTCGAGTGCTTGTCTAAATCTGAGTCTCTGAGTTTAGATGTTTTAACAAACACCAGGATCTTAGCTGTTTAATAAATGTTGCTCTTAGTTGGCCATTAGGGTACATGAATTCAGCCTTTTTACTTCTGCACCTTTATTCTTTTTTTCCTTAAAATCGAAAGTGGTTATAACTATGTTTTTTGTTACTCTTCTAACAAAAACTATCTCGTGGATATTAAGTAGGCATGCGGATTACATGGAGTGATGATTTCTCTTGGTGCTGGAGTTTGTGAGAGAAACCTAATGTTAGTGTGTGGCAAGCCCAGTGCAGTCAGGAAGCCTGTGCATTTGCTTGTGTGTCACTAGCATGAGATTTTATTCTTAATCAAGTTTGTACAGTGTGAGAACAAAAGAAAGACAGAGCCCCATGCTCCCAAATCTCAACTTGTATTTCCTTCCCATTCAGGCTTCCTCATGAAAATTTAAGGCTCAGTCTGGTGTGATGGTACATGCCTGTAATCCCAGCCACTCAGAAGTCACTAAGTTAGGCAGCAAGGCAGGAAGACTGCAAGTTTGAGGATAGCCTGGGTAATTCAGTGAGTCCCGTCTTAAAATAAAAAGAAATAAAGAGGGGTAGGAATGTAGCTCAGTGGTAGAGCACCTAGTACCCACCTCCACACACACACACAAATTTTTAAGGCCCGGCACTTGTCCCCTCCCTGCCTCTTAGGAGATTTGTAAGTTTCATGGTTTCTTGCATAGTGGATATTGGATTTTTTCTTTTAATTGAATCCAGTGGTGTTTAATCAGTGAGCCACATCCCATTCCTTTTTACATTTCAGTTAGAGACAGGGTCTTGCTGAGTTGCTTTAGGATCTCATAAAATTGCTGAGGCTGGCTTTGAACTCTCCATCCTCCTGATTCAGCTTCCCAAGCCTCTGGGATTACAGGTGTGCACCACAGTGCCTGGCTGGATAATGGATCTTAAAACACTGACCCAAAGGGTTAAAAGCCTGTCATCTGCCCTGATAGATATATAGGTGCTTGTGGTGTGCTTTGTAAGGACCATCTATGAGGCACTGTGTCACCTTTATTGACTGCTGCATGCCTGGCTCTGGTAGGACACCATGCCTAATGCAAAGCAGGTGCTCTGGAAATGATTATTAAATAATGCTCCAACAAAGGCCATATGTTATTTGTTTTTAAACAACTCTTCCTTTCAGATGCTGTCAAAGAAAAAAGACGATAAGCCAAGGACAGAGAAATAAATGCTCAAATCTCACAAGTACCAGGCAAAGCTCCCCTGCCTGTGGCTTCTCAGGGCTTCCATGGCAGATGGCAGAGGGGCACCAATGAGTAGGGGTTGGACCCTGATCCCTTTGCCTCTACTTACTCATAAAATTAAGAAAGAAGAAGTTTCAAGGTTGCATTAGAAATTTGAAAACCAGTTGGTTTAAAGTCAACTACCACAGGGTGTAGTGGTGCATGCCTGTAATCTCGGCTACTTAGGAGGCTGAGACAGGAGAATCTTAAGTTGCAGGCCAGCCTCAGCAACTCGGCAAGGCCCTAAGCAACTTAGCTGGACCCTGTCTCAAAATTAAAAAAAATAAAATAAAAAGGGTGGTGTTCAGTGGTAAAGCCCCTGGGTTCAATTCCCAATATCCTTGCCCCCCAAATAAAGTCAACTACCCTTAGACTGGCTGTGTGATGACGGTCACGGCTAGCATCAGAAAGTACTTTAGTGTATCCTGACTAGGTGACCAAGTCATCTTTAGAATGGAATATCTGAGTTTGAAGGCCTCCACTTATTCTACTTATTGCTTTCTTCTTCCTCCCTCCCATTGAAAGAAAGGGTTCTCAATCACTGGCAGATTTTCTCCTGTCAAGGTAATGTTTAGCCATCTGGATGGAGAACCACTCAACTGAAGCAGAGAAGTTTCAACATCACACTTTGGATGTAACTGAATGGTTGTCTTGTCATGGACAGTTGTGTCATTCTTAATGAAAACACCTGTAGGACTCCATATTACCAAGCACTATTTTCTTGTAGGGTATGTGGCCAAAGGAAGTTATTTTACTACAAATCAGAAATAACTTTTTAGATTCTATTACAGCTTTAATATAGGGTTGAAGTGGATTGAATAATGTCCCCCCCAAAAAAGTTCATGTCCACCCAGAACCTCAGAATGTGAGCTCATTTGGAAACAGTCTTTGCGGATAATAATTAACAATAAAGATGAGATCATACTGGATTAGGGTGGACTGCAAATCCAATGAGCATGTTCTCATATGAGACAGAAAAGGACACAGAGAAATGAGGAAAGCCATGTACAGACGAAGACAGAGACTAAAGTGACACTGTCAACAAGCCAAGAAATGTAAGGGAACACTAGATGCTAGAAACAGCAAGGCCCTAGAGTGTTTGGAGCAAAGGTGGCCCCGTTGACACCTTGATTTCCAACTTCTAGAACTGTAGGGAAAGAATAAATTTCTGTTGTCTTAGGCCACCAAGCTTGTGGCAATTTGTTACCACACTTCTAGGAAACTAGTACAAGGATTAATATGCACACAG